CGGCGCCTCCTGGCGCCGGAGGCGGCCATGTATCGAGGAATGGGCCCCTCGGTGGAAACCAGCTGTATGCAGCAGATTTCGTAACCCCCCTCTTTCCCAATCCCCCCCTTTCGTCCGACCCGATCATCTGCCGATCGGGCGCGTGAACCTGCAAGAGCTTGGGCTGGAGCTTCGCTCAGGCTCCGCGCCGCAGAGGGGGGGCGGGGGGAAAGCGTGCTGCGCACGAGCTGCGCCGGTGTCCGGTGCTCTGGTCTGGGTGCGGGGGGTGGCGGGGGGGTGCTGCGCTTTCCCTGGGTCCAGGGTCTGGGATCCAGGGTCCCTCCTCCTCCTCGTCCTCCTCCTGGTCCTCCCTCCTCCTCCTCCTCCTCCTCCTCCTCCTCCTCCTCCTCATCCATATTCCTCCTCCTTCTCCTGCTGGGCCAGGACCCAGGATCCTGAGTCTGAAAGGAAGTCCTGGACACACTGGGCGGTCCGCTCGCTCAGCGATCTGGTTCGGATGCTTACAGCACTTGGATGCAACAGAGATCCTTTGATAGAGTTTGCGCCACCTCACCCAGGTCTCACCCATGATCTTGATATGCCAACGCGTGCACTTAGAACCTATCCACACAAAGCGCATACAGGTTTGAGTTGAATGGCACCAAGCTCGAACATGGTCAATGGAGGATAAGATGATCGGCGCAAAGACGTTTGCACCGACTTAAGATCACACTGCGGTGACTTCGCTAAACAGATTAGCGGAGAAGGCTGCTAAGTGGGATCACGGAACCAGGCTGAGTATGTTAGGCGCGAGGCAACATCGATGATTATCTACATTTTGTTTCGTGTTACATAAGTGCTATGTTCGCGAACACAAAGCTATTGCTTGGTAGTTTTTTTCGCGAATCAGACGATAATTCATGAAGAGCGCATGCGTTCTCCATGTTTTGCTCGCGCGCTGCCCACGAGAACGCATGCCTCCGAATTGCACGTCGTATTTGCTTTCGCCGCGCTCCCGATGCCCCCGAAATTCGCACCTCCCTCTCTCGCCGTCACCTTCGCTTCCCCTCCCGCAGCCTCCCTCTTGTGATCGACTGTTTGGGGGAACGCGTCGGGCGCGAGCTGGCTCCGTCGGGGGTCGGCGAGTGTCCACCTTCGCCGAAGAAGGCGGCCAAGGGGACGCCGTGGATCAGCGTCGCCATCAACCCGTACCTTGACGTCGCGAAGGTGGGCGGCATCGTGGCCGAGGGAGACGCCATCATGAATCCTGAGAAAAACCCGAAGCATCCGACGCGCGCGGCGCCATCGGAAGAATCGTGGCCCGCGGCTGGCCCGACAACAGATCATTGGGCGCCCAGGCCTTCGAAGTGGCAGCGGGGTGGAACGCGGCGCGCCGCGGACTTCCAACGTCGAACCGGCCATGGGCAACAACGGCGCCTTCCCGCCGTTTTCGCGAAGGAGGACGTCCAGATTCTGACGGCGGTTTGTTCCCGCAGCGTGGTCCCGCCGAGGTGCACCAGCTTCAAGGGCGCGCCGCCGAACCTCGACGGAGTCGAACGCGCGGAAGGGGAACTCTCCGAACATCTTGTCCTTGAGAAATACCCGTCGTACGGGCCCGTGCTCCGCGACGGCCTTGAATCCGCGGTCGTGCGCGAAGACATCGAGGCGGCGCGCCCGCGTCTTCTGTTCTTCTTGGAAGGGGCGGGCAGCGCAGGGCACGGCGGCGAAAACAGACACCAAACTGCAAGCCATGCTGGAAGTCCACGGCAAGGCCCCGTGTGACCAGCAAATGAACGGAAAAGGAAGATTTCGGCAACATCGCCAAACAGGTGAGACGACGTCGCAATCCTGAGCGAACCCCCCTCGCTCTTTCGACCAAGGCCCGTGGGGGCAGGTATTCGCGCGAATTCAATTTTGCAATGCTTATGTTCGCCGGCGCGGTTCCCAAACGGTGGGTTGTAGCAAGTTGCCTGGTGCAAAATGTGTAAGCTATATGCGTGGTGCAACCAATATGGTGCATGTTTTGTGGTGGAAGTTGTGTGGTGTAAATTATGTGGTGTCATCTACGTTGCGCAACCCATCTGGTGCAACATATGTATTGCAGCCTATGCGGGGCAAGTTGTGCAATGCCGCCTGTGCGGTGCAAGCGATGTGGTGTCATCCGCGTGGCGCAAATGATTTTTACACGCGAACTGACGAATTGCATGCTCTTGCAAATATCCCACCCACCCACCCGCAACTTGGTTTGCAAAACCCACGCGGCGGCGATTGCGATGAGTGCTTGGCGTTGGCTGGTGCACTTCTACGGCCGCGCCATCCAAGGCACGCGCGCGCAGCGGCCAACTATTTTGTTGCGACCAACGCGGCCGCGGTGGCGCTGGCCGCTGGGCGCATCCCAGCAGGCACTTCAGTGCGAGTCGGCGATTTGGTCGGGCGCGGTACCATGGCAACGTCGACAACGGTAGACGCGATGATAATAGTGGCGATGCTGGTGACGACGTTGACAAAGACGACGGCGCGGCCAGTGACGCCGCCGATGTTGATCGCGCCGACGACGATGACGGCGTCCTCGCGTCGGCGATGAAGGTTTTGGAAAGAGTTTGACATGCGCGCGCGGCCGACGCGCGAGAGTGGCCCGCATGGTATTCTTTAACACGGATCGTGCCCCCCTAAACACGCGCGCAAAGGCGAGCGACTGATTTCGGCACGCGGCTGGAAAAAGGCCCGTTTTGCAGAAGTCCATGAATTCGCAAATCGTTTTCCAGAGTTAGCAAAAGCGCGAGCGCAGGCTTTTTTGACAACTTGTGTTGCGAAATCATGTTTTTGATTCTTCATATGTGTCTTGGACGCTCGGTTGTGGAACCGTTGCGAAACCAATGGTTTTTGACGGATTCCTGCAACGACGCGCGCGTACACTTCGTCCCATTTGTTGCAACGGATTCTCGCGACAGCGCGCGCAAGGGCGTTCGAACGATTTCGACATGCGCGCGCGAATCCCCTTCGAAACATTTTGTGGATTGTTTGAAAACTTATGGATTTCTTGACACTTCGCGATAGCGCGCGCGCAAGCTGTTTTTGAGAGCCAGTGTGACGGCGAGCGTGCACTTCGTTTCATTTGTTCTAACATTTCTATAAACCGGATGACTTTTTATCAGCGAATGCGCGCGTCACATTTTGCAGAGGATGGCGGGGGGATACAGGCTCCCCTGGGATGACATGAATTCTGAGGAATAGATGAACAAGGAGGCATGATCATACATACAATTAAACACGCGAGGCCGAGTTGATAGCCCCGGGGGGGTGATGGGGGTAGAATGTAACTTCCTTGAAGAGAAGAGAGCTCACCTTGCCAAACTTAATTGTCAACTCCACCCCTCGCCCAATCATCCCACGAACCCGCCCGCAACTTGGTTTGCAAAACTCATGCGGCGGCGATTCCGATGACTGCTCGGCGCAAGTTGGCGCGTCGCCGCGGCCGCGCTGGCGCGCGTGCTCGCGCGCGAAGCGGCCAGCTAGTTTGGCGCGACCGACGCGGCCGCGGTGGCGCTGACCGCTGGGCGCTTCCCAGCGGGCACTTCAGTGCGCGTCGGCAATTTGGGCGGGCGCGGTTTCATGGCAACGTCGACAACGGTAGACACGATGATGGTAGTAGCGATGCTGCTGACGATGGTGACAACGACGGAACGACGGAGGCAATGCCAGTGACGGCGCTGATGCTGATCACGCCGACGATGACAGCGTCCTCGCGTCGGTGATGAAGGTTTTGGAAAGAGCTCGACGCGCGTGCGTGGCCGACGCGCGAATGGCCCACATTGCATTATTTGACGCATGTCGCGCGTCCCAACGCGCGCAAGGGCGTTTGAATGATGTCGACATGTGTCGCGAGAGGCCCGTTTGGCAGGACTTGATACACATGTTGAGAAACCAGTGGTTTCCTTCAAAACTTCGCAGGAGCGCGATCGCAGGTATATTAAAAAACTGATGTTGCCAAACCATGTGTTTCCCCCCCACCCGAGACGCTCGATTTTGAAATCGCTGTGGCACCGCAAATTTTGAAGGATTTCCTCACGCGCGCGACGACGAGCGCGCGTGCCCTTCGACCCGTCTTTTGCAAGGGGTTCTTGCGACAGCACGCGCGCAGGGCGTTCGAGCGATTTCGAAATGCGCCCGCGCGAGGGGCCCGTTCATGTATTGACTTTCAAGTATTCGGATTCTCGCGAATCGCATTCGACGTGGTGCAATCTAAATGTTGCAATGCATGTGGTGCAATGTATGTAGCGCGCTCTACGCGGTGCGATCTATGTGGTGCAAGTGACTGCGCTGCGCCGCGTGGCCACCTCCGTCGTCGCCGTCGTCGTCTGCCCCCCTGCCACTCCCCCCCTCCTGCCCCTCCCCAGCGAGGCCCCCCCCCGTCCCCCTCCCCCCTCCCGCTCTCCCCCCACTCCTGCCGCGCTTTGGCGACTGCCCCTCCCGCTCACCGCTTCCCCCTCCTGTGCTCACGGCTCCCTTTCGCTCGGCCCCCCTCCCGCTCCACGGCGAGCGCCCCCCCCCCCCCCCCCCGGGAGGATGGGGCCCCCTCGGCCCCGCCGCACTGGGAGCAATGGGTGGCGACATTCGAACCCTAACCCCCACGAACCACAAGTTCTCCTGAATCGACGCGACGCGGGGGCAGGGTCCGGATTTCGCCGTGTTCGACGACTTCCGAACCCTAACCCCTCCCACCCATCGGACGCACTCCGCACGGACTTCGCATCCCATCAGGAGGGGCTCGAGTCCAGTCGGAGTAAGCCGAGACGAAGCCCGAGCACCTCGCGCGGACTTCGCACCCTCCGACTGTGGATCACCGATCGGCGAGGAGGAGGAGGACGAGGAGGAGGACGAGGAGGAGGACGAGGAGGAGGAGGACGAGGAGGAGGAGGAGGAGGACGAGGAGGAGGAGATGCAGGGGGAGGAGGAGGAGGAGGAGGAGGAGGAGGAGGAGGAGGAGGAGGAGGAGGAGCAAGGCGCGGCGCGAGGCCCGCCGGGAACGCGCCGCGCAGCACGGCGCGCAGGTGCCGCTCCGCCTCGTCTGGCTCGGCGGCGGCGCCCAGTGCTCCTCGGGGGGGGCGGGGGGGCGGAGCGGAGCGCGCCCCGTTGGCTCGCCCGACGGGCCAGCCCCACGCGGGCAGCGCGGGCGGGCCGGGGCCCAGAGAGAGGCCCACGCTGCGGCACCGGCGAAGTTCATCTGGGCGCGGAGTGCAGGCGGGTCTTGCGCGAGGCGGCACGGCAGCGTTGCGCCGCGGCGTGCGCGCGCCGCAGGCGGGGGCATTCGCGCGGGACGTTTACGAGGCAACGTCGCGGCGAAAGCGATCGCGTGCTCTTCCGTCGCTCATGTGGCATTGGAATCGCGGGACCCCGGAGTCGGAGAGATGGTTGCTTGATAGGGGGGGCCGAAACTAGAGGCCTCCTAGATGGGGTTCGAGCAGATGGGGTCCGAGGATCGCGCAGCATCGCCGATGCATCGCTGATGCATCGGCGATGCATCGGAGATGCATCGGCGATGCACCGGCGATGTATCGTCGACGTCGGCGATGCATCGGCGATGTCGGCGTGGGGAAACGCGGGCTGCACGTCGAGCCGCATCGCCGATGTAGCGGCGATGCGGCGCGATCCTCCGACCCCGGCTACTCCGACCCCATCTATTGAGCAGGGACCGACCGTCCCGGCATTCCTATAGTCCTACCACGACATGTTCTTAGAACCCAAAAGTGTTCTAAGAACAAAAACAATGTTCTTAGAATATAGACCCGATGTGTTAAAACAAGACAGTCCCAACCAGAAATGTTCTAAGAACATTTCGTGGGAACCACAGAAGGTTCTCAGAACATTGCTTGGTAGGGCTATAGGCGAGCCAGGACGCTTCGCGACCGCTTCAATCTAGGAGGCCCAGAGAAGTGGGGGGGAGGGCCGAACGGCGCGGCGCCGCTCGGCGGCGGCGCCCAAGGCTCCTCCGAGGGGCTGGGCGCCGAGAGGCGGGGGGCGGGGAGGGCCCCACCACCGGCCCCGGGCGCGCCTCCCCCCCGCCGGGCCCCCAATCGAGGGGCCCTCGAGCACCGCTGCGCCGGCGCTGCACGAGCAAGCCGCCGATCGGCGCGCCGGCGCCAGCTTCGGGAACCTCTCCCCGAGGAGGAGGAGGAGGAGGAGGAGGAGGGGGAGGAGGGAGGAGGGAGGAGGGAGGAGGGAGGAGGGAGGAGGCCCCCTCTTGTCACCCTTCCTCCGACCCTCCTTCTCCCTCGCATTCCTCCTCCCCCTCTCTTTCCCGTGCGCGACTGCTCGTGTGCCTTGCGCTGCACGTGGTCAAATCAGGCCGCATCCTGCGGGCCACGGCCTCACCCACCTGGTCTTGTCCATGCCCAGGCTGTGTCGCATCCGTGGTCGTTCGTTCAGTGGGCCCTCGGCGGGCTCCCCGAGCGGCTGACCGAGGCCCACGATCTCCCCTCGATTGGCAGCATGCTGTGAAATGGGAGAGGCTCGGTCAGATCGGACTGTTCGGGTGACCTGCTCTCCGCGGTTTCGGTTAGGACGGTCTTGCTCTGGTGAATTGTTCCCCCTTGAGCCAAAGTGGTTGCGGACCACCTCAGCTCCACATCTTCTCTCTCCGTGCAAGCAATATGTCGTCCACCGCCCTGCGGGTGACTTAGCAGGTAGGGCATCTTACCTTTCCTCATAATCACCACACCTTTAGCATAGCACCTTACTCGCATGGCATTGAGCACGACCAGGGGATACATAAACACATGTTCATGTTCATGTTCATGTATGTATGTATGCATATATATATAGATGCATGTGCATGTACATGCACATACACATGCATAGTCTATGAACAAGTGTATGTGTATGTATATGTATATACATAAATTATGTTTATGTATATACACTTATATGCGTGCATGTTACTGTATATGATTATAGGTACGTATCTGTATATGACGATGTAGATATGTATACATATATATATATGCATATGTACATGTATATGTTTATGCAGGTGTATAAGTAAATGTACATATATACGTATGTGTATTTGTGTAGGTATATGTATCTGTATAGGTCGACCAACTAATTCATGCGTATGTATATGCATTTATAACCGTAAACGTATATGTGTATGTATTGGACTATGCGTGCATACATATATATATATATAAATATATAAATGAATGAATGAACTTATGCATGTGTATATTTGTGTTTATATATGTATATATGTAGGTACAAGTGTAACTGTGCATGTCTATAACGATGCATACACACATGCATAGGTATATGCAGGTGCATATGTAAATGTATACATACATACACGCATACATATATACATATATATATATATATACACACGAATGTATGTGTATATATGTACATATTATGTGGGGAGGTCCTGGTGGCCTCTTAGGACTTCTTGGGGCGTCGGGGGCCTCCCTGGGCTTTTGACCTCTTTCGGGGCGGAAGGCTCGAAATGTCTGCTCGGATCCCCGCTCTTGCCCCTCTTTGGGCCGTCTTGAGGTCCTCTTGGGTCGTCTTGGGTGACTCTTGAGCCGTCTTGGGGCTCTCTTGGGTCGTATTGGGGCCGTTCAGGGGGTGTCATTGGCGCTGTCTTTGGGATCTCCTGGGCCGTCTTGGAGCATTGGAACGTCGAAAAACGATAACGCGAAAATCGGTCGAACACCCACGGACATATGTACAATTTGGGCCTCCCGGGGCCCTCATGAGGGCCCTCTTGGTGCCATTTTGGAATGTTTTGGGACCCTCTTGGACCTACTTGAAGCCATCTTAAGCTTCTTCGAGCGTCCTTGGGCCGTCTCGGAGCCCTTGGCGCGTCTTGAAGGCCTCTTGGGCCTTTCATGGCCGTCTTAAGACCCTTTCTGGGCGCTCTCTGGCCCCCAAGGCGGGGAACCCGGAAACGTACAAGGGGGGCACCTTGATGGAGCCCTGGCTCTGGGATCTCCCGTATCTATCTAGATCTACACACTAGAAACACGCGCGCGAGCTACGCGCGCGCTCAGGTTCTAGCCGACTCCGGAGAAGGTGTTAGTAGGCACGGGGCCGATCCCGTGGCATGTCTGCGAGAAGGCTCCCACTTACGCTTGCTTGAAGAAAGAGCATGTGGCGTATGATTGCGGCTTCTGGTGGACACGCTGCGATCTCGTGAGCCGTCTAGGACGCTACAAAGACCATCAACATAAGGAAGATAATGAGGAACACGGCAATGACGGACTCAGGCACACCAATGATTCTTGCCTCCGTCTGGACGCACTCGTGGGGGCCTCTTGGGCCATCTTGGGGCTCTCTCTTGGCCCGTCTTGGGGCTCTCTGGACCAGTCTTTCTTGGAGGCATCTGGGGCTCTTTTAAACTGTCGGAAATTGGAATCGCACCACACAGCGTGTTACCGCTGAAAACGGGCGAGACCGGAGAACCAACAGGTATAGGAACTCCAGTAACCTTGAAGAGCGTGAGGCTACAGGGGGGGCCAGGGCGCAGAACGATTGCGCATAGCTGTAAAAAGCCGAGCCGAAAACACAGAGGCAACACGGCGATGAACGCTCACGTAACTTGCTTCACGATGCCCTCTTAAAAGAGGAGTAGATTGCGCACGGCTTCTCACAGCGTCGGAAAACACGTGGCACGATCGAGCCCAATTGCTCAAGCACCCTACTCACCGTGCACTCCGGCAGGAGGAAAAAAACGCTTGCGCACAGCAGGCAGCCAGAAACGCATGCTGGCCGCAGTGGAGGCGAAATGCGCTCTCCAGAAGAGGATGGGGCTGGCCACTGGACGCACGCCCACCCTGAAAACTCGGAGTATGCCCGCCCCGCTCGCTCGGGCTCGCGAGGGGCAACGAAGAAAGGGGGGACCAGCTCAGGGGGGGAAACATCGAGCTGGAACCGGCGACACCTCGCCGATGGATCGGCGATAGCCCCCGATATAGCGACGCCGCACGCTCCTGGGCGGGTGGGCCATCGGGCCACTGCTGGCGATCCATGAGCGATTGGGGGCCGATGCATCCCCTCCCCCTCAGCCTATCCTTGGAGACCTGGAAATGGGCACCAACACCAAGACAGGGGGCTGCCTCCACAGGGGGGAGATGATCCTCGACTTCGGTGTTGGTGGTCATGCTCCAGCCACCTTGGAAGCCAGAGTGTCACCACCATCCCCGAGATCGGGACCTCCTCCCCTCGGTGGAGGAGCCCCGCCGATGTTGGTGTCGGTGTCAACCTCTGGGCCTGCGACATCTGCCGCGCCGCGAGAAGCGCGAGCGCGACACCCTGCCAGGGCGCGGCGTCCGCTCGGGGCGGCCGGGAGACGAGGAGGAGG